AAAAAAAAAAAAAAAGAATGAATGAACAAAAGCTTGGAATGAACCAAAACATCCTGGAAAAAAACAGTAATTACCTTATTGATAAATGGAGAACAGACTGAAGTTGTGAAAGACTTCATTTTGCTTGGATCAACCATCAATACTCATGGAAGCAGCAGTCAAGAAATTAAACAGTGCATTACATTAGACAAATCTGCCGCACAAGATGCCTTTAAAGTGTTCAAGAACAAAGTATTATCACTTTGAGGACTAAGGTGCATCCGACCCAAGCCATGGTATTTTCAATAGCTTCTTATGCACATGAAAGTTGGACAATGAAAAAGGAAGATTGGAGAATTGATGCATTTGAGTTATGGTGTTGGAAAGAATACTGAAAGCACCATGGACTCCCAGAAGAGCAAACAAATCTGTGTAGGAAATAATAATACAGTCAAAATGCTGCTTCTTTAGAAGCCAGAATGGTGAGACTTCATCTCTCACACTTTAGACATGTTACCAGGAGGGACCTGGAGAAGGACATCATGCTTGGTAAAGTAGAAGTTCAGCAAAAACGGAAGCCTCCCTCTCCCACGCCTGAATGAGATGGATTGGTACAGTGGCAGCATTAATGGGCACAAGCATAAGAACTATTGTGAGGATGGCACAGGTCTGGGCAGGGCTTAGTTCTGTTGTGCATAGGGTTGCTATGAGTTGGAGCCGACTTGACAGTGCCTAAAAATAACAAGCAAGGCTGGGTTCTTGGCAGAAAACTAGCTTTAGTGGGACCCCAGAAGAAAAGTCTTGGAGCAGAAACTGCACCAAAGAGTCCTATCAGCAACAAGCTGGGCTTTTACACTTCTAAGTTGGTCAGTTATTGGCTATATAGGCTATGACAGCCTCCTTCCAGGTACTAGGACTTCCATTTAGTTGAGGGCAAGTCTTTAGAGGACAGTGTGCCATTAGCAGCCAATATTCACTGGTAGGAGAAGTAGGTGCAATTTCCTGATAAAGGGGGTCTTAAAAAGGCACCAGGAGAACTGGACCTGTACTTATGGATGCAGTAGCTCAAAAGAGGGAATGAATCTTTACAACGACAATCATTCCCAACCCCTCAGTACACAGGGTTGAAGGGGATGGGCAACTTAGACAATGGCTATCCAAAATGGGGGGGTTTCAAAGGCAAGAAGTGACTGGCTTACAAGCTTTCAAGAGGGAACCTAGTTCCAGAGAGTGCGGGAAAATGTAGAATCTCCACTGAGTGGTTTCCAACCTGTCTGGACAGGGCTGATAAAAGGAGATGGAGATAAGACTCTTGTGGTTCAATAGTGAATAATTGCTATCAAGCCTTACTATGAGTGTTTCAAATGTAAAGGTAGACATTTCGTACAAAAGGAGAGGAATACTTGATTTTAAAGTCCAGGAGCAGAGGTCCCTGGGACCATCAAGGGAGAAGAGCGGAGTGCAGGACCCTATCCAGAGAAGCAGTGACACCAGAAATGGAGGCAGAGATGATGAGGTGGAGAGATGGCGCGTCTGGGGACTCTGGACTCAGGAAGGGAGAGGGGCTGTGTGCTGTGCTGACAGCAGGGGGGAAGGCCTGTGGGGTGTATCCTTTGGTTGTTTGAGGATGCATGGAGGGGACTATAATCATTGCAATGAAACGAAATACGATAGGATGACTATAAAGCTGATGTTCTCCCATGTAAACTATCACTCAATTCACAATAAAAACTTTAAAAAATAAAAGATGTCAGGAGTCCTGGTGTGGCACTGTGGAACAATGCACTAGCCTGGAAGGTCGGTTTAAACTGCAAAGTCAGTGGTTCAAATTCACCATCTGCTCTTTGGAAACCCCATACAGAACCACTATGAGTAGGAACAGACTTCACGGTACTTAAAAACAACAATAACAAGGCCCCAACATCAATCACAGAATGCAATCAAAGACTCAGAGAGGCTGTTTAGTGGATAAGTTTATTAAATTAAATTAAATTATAAGTTGTAATCACATTTTTCATTCGGATTGTTGAATAGAAGAATTCACTTGTTCAAAAGGGGAAAGAACCTCCCTGTAGAGTCAACATGCTGGACGAACAGAAAGATCAGTGAGAGGAAGAGTGCAGCAGAAAAGGTAAGATCGAAGGGAATGAGATCAGAAAGACAGGGAGGAGGTAGATGATGTAGGGACTTATAGGCCATAATAAGTCTGAGTTTTAGTCTAAGTATAAGAAGCCACTGAAGGATTTTAGGGAAAAGTGATACATTCTGATTTGCAATTTTAACAGGTGTTTGGCTAAGAGGCAGTTCTCATTTAAACACATATTGTGTACATATGCAAGCACACACACAAGTACATACACACACACATAAAAGAACACAATAGAATTTTTAGTATAAGTACTGGTCCTACCATTCGAAGATCAGGATCCAAGACGGTATGATTGTAGGAAAGCAGATCTTTTAGTTCCTGAGGAAAGTTACTGAGATGTTCTGGGTAGCAGTGACCAATCTGTTCAAAAAGTCAAAGGAGAGTTGCTGTTTAGTGCCATTTAGTCGGTTCCGACTCATAGCGACCCCATATAGGATTTTTGGAAACTGTAAATCTTTGCTGGAGTAGAAAGTCTCATCTTTCTCCTGTGGAGTGGCTGGTAGGCTTGAACTGCTGACCTTGTGGTTCTGCAGTCCAGTGCTTATCATACAATGCCACCGTGCCCTAAACAAGGAAATGAGCTGTTACTGTTAAGTGCCAGGGAGTTGAAACCCTGTATAGGGTTTCCAAGGAGTAGCTGATGGGTTTGAACTGGCAACCTTGAGGTTAGCAGTCCATTGCTTCTCCTACAGCACCACGAAGTTTTAAAAGAAAAAAGGTAGAAAAAAAAATCTTTTTAAATTTAGTTAAGCATCCACTCAAGAATGAAATGAAGGTACTACTGAAAAAATAATCTGCCAAATGAGTGCAACAAATTGGGTCTTTGTTTACTGAGACGTTATCTTCTTACCTGTGCCATGAACATCACCAGCTCTGCCAGTTCTTTGCTGGGCTTATTTGGTTGTAATTTGAATATCTCCACATTGGATTTGTAGTGATTATACTGCTGCAGAAACTGGAAAAATAAAATGTAAGTTTGTTACATTCTATTACATGACTTTCTCAGTACAAAATGAAAAACTACTTAGATTCTGTCTTTGACACGGAAAACAAGATATGGCAAGAGAATACAGAGCTACTACCTTTTCTTTATCCATACTCTTTAAAGTGAGCTTTGAAAAATCAAAGATAATCAAAAGATCCTCTCCTTAGAATTATCATTAGAATTTAGGTGGTGTGAAGCAAATGTGGTATTTAGTATAGTGACAAAGTTCTGCACTTATCACCACTAATTCTAGAACACTTCATCACTATCCCAACTCCCCAAAAAACCCTACTCATTAACAATCACTCCATAGTCCCCTCTCCCTCTAGCCCTTGTTGTTTAGTGCCGTCAAGTTGGTTCCGACCCATAGCGTCCTTGTATAGGTTTTCCAAGAAGCAGCTGCTGAGTTTGAACCACTGACCTTGTGGTTCAAACCGATCTTGTGGTCCAGTGCTTATCCTACAATGCCATCCCAGCAGTCAACCATGAATTCACTTTATCTCTAAGGATTTGCCAATTCTGAACATTACATTTAAATGAAATCACATCCTATTTGAGTCCTGGTGTGGTGCTGTGGGTTAATGTGCTGGACTGCAAACTCGGTCTGAACCGCAAGGTTGGATATTCAAGCCCACAAGCCACTCCTTGGAAGCAAGGTCGCTATGGGTCAGAACCCTACAGCACCTAACAACCTCCCCCAGTTGCTTTTAAGACTACCACACCCACTTCTTCACCTAAACTGCTCATGTGTACATCTTTACTGGAGCAGATCGCCAAGCCTTTTCTTCCGTCAAACTCTTTAAAATGCCCACCTTTCGAATACAGGCTAGACATCCCGATAGAGCAGTTCTACTCTGCCATTTGGGTCGCAAAGTCAGAATCGACTCGACGGTATACAATACAGAAGTTATGAAAATCCAAAGAGGCAGCAGATTCCCATGTGGTGACCAACGAACCCTAAGCCATGTCACTTCCACAACCTTCTCGCCTCCCAAATGACAGCTACATTGAACTGGAGGAGCCGCGGCGAGCCAGGACCCCAGCTCCGCTCCACCTCTCCCCCGCCTGTAATTCAACCACTCACTCCCCGGCCTCTGCCGCACTCCCACCTCTTCGATGTAGGCCGGTGGGTCCCGCTTGATCAGATTCTGTAACTGCGGGAGGTTGCTGGGCAGCTTATTATTGTTTCTGCTAGACATGTTGGTTCTGAAAACTCACAGAGCCAACTCGTTGCGATTGCGGCTTAGAACTGGGCTTCCGAGCATGACCGGAAACAGCACATGGTACTCTGGGAAGGCGGCGCCATGTTGAACTTTTTTTTTTTTAAGCGACTTTTTTCCTACGGTAGCCCCAGAGGGTCAAACTTACTAAACTGTAGACCTGCTCTGCAAGTTTTCTATTGTTGTTGTTGTTGTTGTTAAGTGCCGTCAAATCGGCTCTGACTCACAGTGATCCTGTATAGGGTTTCCGAGGAAAAGCTAGTGAGGCTTGAACCGCCGACCTTGCAGTTCAAATCGATCTGTCCTTGCAGTCTAGCGCATTAACCTACAGCGCCACACCAGGACTCCACGAGGCTTTATTTTCCCTTTTTTGGTAACCACTTGTTAAGTGCTGTCAAGTCGATTCCGATTCTTAGCGACCCTGTATAGGGTTTCCGAGGAGCAGATAGTGAGTTTGAACCACCGACCTTGAAGTTCAAACGGTTTTGCATTCCGGTGCATTAACCCCACAGCACCACTACCTTAGCGTTTCTAAAACTATCTGAAGGGCAAAGGTTTCTTGGTTTTGTTTTTAGCTTAATTATTACAGCACTCCTTTGAAACACACATGTGTGGAGTGATAGTCTTATTTTAACCGCTGCAACCTATAGTTAAGTGCGGTCGAGTCGGTTCTACAAGGTCAGCGGTTCAAATCCACCACCACTCCTTGGAAACCCTATACAGTGTCTCCATGGGTCAGAACCGACTCGACAGCACTTAACAACAACAATCCCAGTGTTTAAGGAGCCCTGGTGGTACAATGATTAAGCACTTGACGTCCAACTGAAAGACAAGTGGTCTAACCCACTTGTGGAAATCTCCCATAGATTTCAGCCTAAGAAACCATACGGGCACTTCAACGCTGGCTTGCAGGGTCACTATTGTTGTTGTTAAGTTCCATCAAGTCGATTCTGACACATAGCGACCCTGTATAGGGTTTCCAAGAAGCAGCTGGTGGTTTTGAACCATCAACCTTGCAGTTCAGACGACTTTGCAGTCTGGTGCATTAGTCCACAACACGGCACGAGGACTCCTGTAGGGTTACTAGGAGTTGGAATTGACTCAGTGGCACATAGCATGTACTCAATAAATGCTTGTGATGTGGCCTGAAGATATTATTCAAAATTCAAAAATTACATTTTTGTGATGGAAGATAAGTACTCATATCCCATAAACTTGTGGTTTTGACAGGAATGAAATGAAATAATTTCAGTATATTTTGTTTTGAGGGTGCCTTTTTTCCCCCCCATAGTAAACAAATCTATCTTGGTAGACATACAGCCAGAATGTTCTTTAGAAGTGAGTATGGCTAGACATCATCTCATGTAGTTTGGACATTTTATTAGGAGTCCAGCCCCTGGAAATGGATATCATGCTGGTTAAAGTAAAGGATTGGTGAAAAAGCAAAAGACCCTCAATGAGATGGACTGACATAGTGGCTAAAATCATGGTCTCAAACAAAAATTGTGACCATGGCTTGGGGCTGGGCAAGGTTTCTTTCTGTTGTAAGCAGGGCTGCTAAGTCAGAACCAACTTGATGGACCCTCACAATGACAACATTTCAGCCTAACAACAACTTTTAAAATTTAAATCTGATTGAATTTAAAGGGGAAAGAAAAAAGAATTATTGCTTACATTGATTTCTTAATCATTCCACAAGTAATTGTTTTAATAGTCATTTTTCAAATGCATCTGGAGAGCAAATTGGGTTGTTTTTTTTTTTTTTTAAGTTTTTGCTGTGAATTGAGTGATAGTTTGCATGTGGGAACATCAGTTTTACACTCATCATTTCATTACAATGATTACAATCTCCTCCGTGCATCATCATTCAACAGTATTGAGCAGATTGTATTTTACACTGTTTTTTCTGTTTTTTTAATTTCCTTTATGCTGGGACCTGAGTACTGGGTGGTCTTGTTTTTGGCTTATCCCATCGCAATCACAAATGACGTCAACCTATACTTGTATTCTTTGTAATGGTTTACAGTTATCAAGAGACTGCAGCTGCCAGGCTACTTTCTTCCTTTTCATATCGTTAAAATCAAGACTTCAGGGCCAGTATTCATTCCTCATTGCTTTAAAATTAAAAACAAAACCAAACTCACCACTTTCAAGTTGATTTTGACTCACAGCTACCCTGTATAGGGTTTCTGAGATTGTCAATCCACATACAGGAGCAGAAAGCTTCATCTTTCTCGTGAGGAGCAGTTGTTAGGTTTGAACTACTGACTTTGGGGTTAGAAGTTCAGTGCTCATCCTACAGCTCCACCAGGGCCCCTTTGAAATGGTTAATGGGAACCTAATTTACGGTATAAACTTCAGCCTAAAGTAACAAGTCCACTGCCATCATATCAGTGCCGACTAACAACAAACCCTTTAGACAAAGTAGAACTGTTCCTTGGGGTTTCTGAGACTGTAAATCTTTAAGGGGATAGACAGTCCCATTTTTCTTCCTCAGAGCAGATGGTGGGTTTGAACTGATGACCTTGCAGTAAGCAGCCCAACAATTGACCTATTGTTGTTGTGAGCTGTTAAGTCAGTTCTGATTCACAGGGACCCTGTATAGATTTCTGAGAGTAGCTGGTGGGTTAAAACTTCTGACCTTGCAGTTACCTGTCCAGTGCTTATCCTACAGCATCACACCAGATTCCCACTTTGTTGTTGTTAGGAGCTAATGAGTCAGTTACAACTCATAGTGACCCTGTGTAAAACACAATGAAACACTACTCATCCTGAGCCATCCTCACAATTGTTATGTTTGAGTCCATTGTTGCTGCCACAGTGCCAGATCCATCTCATTGGGAGTCTTCCCCTTTTTTGCTGACCCTCTATTTTACCAAGCAACATGCCCAAAGTATGAGAGACAAAGTCTTGCCATTCTGGCTTCCAAGAAGCATTCTGGGTGTACTTCTTCTAACACAGATTGGTTGGCTCTTTTGGCAGGCCTTGGTACTTTCAATATTCTTTTCCAACATCATAACTCAAATGCATCAATTGTTCTATGGTCTTCCTTATTTATTGTCCAACTTTACATGCATATGATGATATTAAAAATATAGCTTGAGTCAGGCATGCCTCAGTCCTCAAACTAATATTTCTGCTTTTGACAACTTTAAAGAGGACTGCTGCTTCTGTGAGTGCTTACTGTGGATACATGCAAAATGAATTATTTGATAACTTCAATGTTTTTTCTATTTATCATGATCTTATTTATTGTCCCAGTTGTGAGGAGTTTTGTTTTCTTTACATTGAGGTGCAATGCATACTGAATACTGTAGTCTTAGGTCTTCATCAATATTATAAGCCTCCTTCACTTCCAGCAAGCAATGTTGTATTATCTACATATCACAGATTGTTAATGAGTCTTCCTCCAATCTTGATGCCATATTCTTCTTCATATGATCAAGGTTCTCTGATTATTTGTTCAGCATAGAGATTAAATAAATGAAAGAATATAACCCAGGCTCACATATTTCCTGATTTTAGACCATTCAGTATTCCCTTGTTCTGTTCTAATGACTGCCTCTTGGTCTATGTACAGGTTCCTTGTGAGCACAATTAAGTGTTCTGGGATACCCATTCTTCACAATGTTATCTATAGTTTGACATGATCCACTTAGATGAAAATCTTTTCATAGTTAACAAGGTACAAGTAAACACCTTTTCATTCAAGATGCACTGATAATTATTGGTGATTAGAATGGGAAGGTTGGAAGCAAAGAGGAAAGACCAGTAGTTGGAAAATATGGTCTTGGTGTTAGAAATGATGCTGGAGACTGCATGATAGAATTTTATAAGACGAATAAATTATTCACACGAAATACCTTTTTTAAACAACGTAAAAGGCAACTATACACATGGGCCTCACGAAATAGAATATACAGGAATCAAACTGA